AAAATTCTGTGTTGCCCAAGACATGGGTCACTATCTTGGAATGAAAATGCCTTAAATACTGGCTCTGGTTTTTTTTTTTTTTTTTTTTTTTTGTTTTTTTTTTAAGCTCACCAGAAAGACAGAGAGAGAGAGAGAGAGAGAGAGAGAGAGAGAGAAAGCGAGAAATCACCACCCCGGGGGATGGCCACGCCACAATCCCTTCTCCATTCTCTTTTCGGGATCGTGGGCATGCATGCACATGCACCTGGTGTGAGTTTAAACCACCGGGTCCAGGACTCAAACCGCTGTCAACTACATGGGAGCCCAGCAACATAGCCATTATGCCAACTGCTGGTCCCCAATACTGGCTCTGTTCTGCTGGCCTGCTAAGCTCATGGTCGGAGCCTGCTGTCAGCGTGGCTGCCACCTGAGTCTGGTCCTGCAGTGGGCAGTGTGTCTGCTCCAGGGCTGGAGGTGACCTCTCTAATCCTGCCTGTGTGACGAGACGTGAGCATGGGTGAGCTAAGGAAAGACTGGAAATCCACAGAGCACTGGCACACCCTTCGTATTCCAAGAAAATGTCATTTCAAAGTACGTAGTTTGTATAAAGAAAAAGAAGGGTATGGAAGAACAGAATTGGGGGGGGCAGCAGGTGGCACAGTGATTAAGGTACTGGGCATCCACATGTCTGACCGTGGTTTGAGTCTAGGATCTGGTGGCTTAAAAATCACACTGGGTGCATGTGTTTGCGTGCCCAGCATCCTGAGAGGAGAATGGAGAAGGGATTGCAGCGTGGCCCTCTGGGGCGGGGTGATGTCTTACTTTGTCTCTCCATCTCTCTCTCTCTCTCTCTCTGGTGAGCTACATGCTCCCTATAGCAAAAAATCTTGAAAAAAGTTATTTATTTTTTGTCAAAGCAAACTAAAACCAATACAAATAATTAAAGCGTCTGAGATTCTTACTACTCTACAAAGTGCTTTAACTTGGATGATGTACTGTGGTCTCACACCAGCTCTGTAAAGTGGGCCTGACACACATCAGCCCATTTTATAAGTGAGAAATGACAGCGTCCATGTTATGTGACTTGCCCCCAGGCGACTGTCAGAGCACAGCGTGGGTGCAAAGCTTCCGGTACAGGTGTCACGAACAAGGGTAACAATAGTGGGGACAATGCGGTGCCTAGATCTTACAAACACTATTCAAGAAACTTAACAAACACTACTGAGGACTGCGAGGGTCACTATGTAGCAATCGTGTCTGGCCACCGAACTCATGGGTTGCCTCATGAAACTAGGGTCCCTTTGTAACCAGTTTTCTTCAGTCAGCCAAGCCAGGGACATGACTCCTGAAAGCTGAGGTGTAGGTATACTGTGGTTCCTGGTCCTCCAGGGCGGCTGGCTTCAGTTTCATTAGAACTCTTTAAGATAATTTGGAACTGTTATCCCTCACAGAGGTGAGCATAGGAAGGGTGGTGAAATTCTTTGCCGTTAGAAAGTGGGGGACCGGCGGATGGCATGACGGTTACATCGCTGACCTCCCATGAGGTCAATGGTAGTCCAAGTGACTTGGCGGCTTAAAACTTATGCTGGGTGTGTGTGTGTGCATGCCCAAAATCCTGAGAGGAGAAGGGAGGAGAGGGGATTGCGAAGTGGCCATCCCTATGCGGAGGGATTTCTCACTTTCTGTTTGTCTGTCTTCCTCTGTCTCTTCAGTGAATACATGTGCTCTATAGCAAAAAATAAAACAAGACAAAACAATAAAACCAACTCTAAAAAACATAGAAGCAGTACTGAGATTCAATCTAAAGGTGATGAGTTATTAATTAAATGCTAAGGATCTTACTAATTATCTATATATGAATTGCTAGAGGGTACGTGTGCTGTTGGGGCCTTGGGTACGCATATACCTGGTGTGTTTTTCAAGCTGTCAGGGCCAGGATTTGAACCTCAGTAGGCCATGTGGGCTCCGGTCCCCGCTCGGCTTGGGGCGGGCACTATGGTTTTTTAGATACATGTACATTCACATACAAATTGCCAAATGCCTAGAAAGCCCTTTGAGAGGCGAGATAGCACAGAGCTCACAACGGTGAAAAGTGTGTAATGCCTAGATAGGCCCAGCCTGTGGGCACGCCGCGATCGGAGCTGGCAACAGATGATGTGGCATTTTTTTAAAAGAATTATTTTTTTTATTTAACTTTATTTATTATTATTATCATTATTATTTTCCAGTTTGATCAGAGAGACACAGAGAGAGAGAGAGGAAGTGAGAAAGCAAGCCACCAGGTTTGAGACTTGAACCGTGGTTGGCCATGTGGGAGTCCAGCGCCTTTAACCACCATGCCACTTGGTGGCCCCGGTGTGGCATTTTCTGACAAGTGACCAGGTAAGGCAGGCTTCACCCCTGACTCGGGGCACAGGCAGATCACCTCAGCCACGCTCAGCGCACTGGCTCTGCCACGCCAGCCAGGCACAGAAGACGATGGCTCGTGTTCGCACAGCCTCCGCTAACAAGGGTCTGGCGACGACAGCAGTGGCTATGGGTTATCATTAGGATCCGGCGGTTGGCAAGGGTGTGCGAGGCTGTGTGCGTATGTGTGTGTGTGTGGCAAGAGGAGTTGTGATAGAGGGTCCACGGCTGAACAAGGCCCAGCATTTCTGGTAGAGCCAGTGAGATTGCTGTGAACTGACAGTGTGTCCCGAAATTCCTATGTCAATGGCCTAAGTCCCAGTGTGTTGGTGTTTGGAGATGGGGCCTTTGGAAAGCCATTGGGGTTAGATGAGGTGATGAGGTGGGGCCCTCATGGGCATTAACAGTCTTAGGAGGAGAGACACCCTAGAGCTTGCTCTCTCTAGGACACGATGAGAAGGCAGTTACCCACAAGCCAGGAAGAGGGCCCTCACCAGAACCCCAAGGTGCTGGCACCCTGACAGGAGACGTCTAGCCTCCAGAACTGTATGAAGATACATTTCTCTAGGGATTTTTTTTGGCAGCTAGAGCCGACTAAGACCTAGATGGACTTCTTATTACTGGAACAGGATAGGTGAGGGAAGGGTGCATAGGAAAAACTTTAATGGGTACAAGAATGCCTGTAAATAAGAGGAAGAGGTTATGGGATGGCGCATCACAGCCGAGTAAGCATACGGGTGATTTGGGGGCCAGCAGGTAGGGTGGCAGTTAAGGCACTCGATTCCCACAGGGCCGACCATGGTTCAAATTGCAGACCTGGTGGCTTGAAGATCACACCGAACATTGTGTGTGTGTGTGTGTGTGCCCAAAATCTGAAACTGGGGGGAAAGGGATTGCAGTGTGGCCATCTCCCCTGAGGGGTGAGTTCTCACTTTCTCTCTCTGTCTCTTTCTGGTGAGTGCACAAACCCTATGGAAAAAACTTTAAAAAAGATGATTTCATACATGTTAAAAAACAAACAAACAAAGAAAGAAACCCTAGTAGAACTACTACCAAACACGCACACCAGAATGTAATGTTCAATGTTGAAGATGGTGAGCGTGTGTGGTCCTTGATTCGACTATGACCCACCGTAGGCATGTCTTTAAACGCTGTACTGTAGCCCACAAAGATATCGAATATATATACCCGGAATCATAATTAATAACATTTAAGTAAAAATAAATCAATAAAAAATAGAGCGTGGTTGAGTGGGGCATGGTTGTGGCGGGGGGGGGGGGGCTTATGGAGAAAAAGCCCCATCTGAAAACCCCGTAGAGCCCTCTTCAGCTGTGACTGATTGCAGGAAGCAAGGCAGAAAGGGTTAAAAAGGCCAAAGTGCAGAACCAGCCAAACCCAGAGGGCAAAGGTGCAGCCTGTGCACAGCAGGTGCAGAGGTGTGAAAGGTGGTGCCAGAAGCAAAGGACATGGGCGTGAGCCTGCTGAGAGTCCCTTCCCACAGTGGGACACCAGCTCGGAACCCTGTAAAGGCAGTAGCTGAATTCCCATTGAGGGAGATGGTGCCTCGGGAGCCCTAGCAGCCCTTCTCCATTCTGTGCCCCAAGAACCCTTTTCTGTGCTGCTGGGCCAAACCTGGTGTCATTCACTCACCACGAACGGCACCGAGCAGGGAGGACCTCTTGGTTCCCCACCCTGCATGGGTCAGCAGCCCTGAGTAGGGAAGTCAGTAAAATGAGCTTCCGTATTTATAGTGCATAGGATTACAAATCATGCGAGTAGATTAGGTGTTTTACAGCTTCCTAAAATGCTGAATAATGCCGTGGAGTGGGTAAACTGCCGACCAGATGTTAAGTAGCGGTCTGTGATGACGCCCTTGGTTCCCCTTGCGGGGCGAGAGCATTGAGTCAATGATGTAATGCAAACGCCAGGAGAAGGAAATTCTTCAAAAATTCCAACTCACGGGTCCTTAGAAAAATATTCAAAGAGGAGAAATCTGCAGCCTTTATAGCCCGTTAATGAGAAGTTCTCTTTATGTACCTTGCAGTACAATGGCTTACATTGGCTAAAATAGCACTGCATAATGCAGGTCTTCTTTGGGGCTTTTTGAAACTGAAAAGTACAAAGGTGTCTTTTTCCTGCATCACAGAAAAGGGTTAGATCATTTACCTTCAGGCTACACAGAGATCAATTGCTAATGTTTAGAGTAGCATCCATTCATCAGCCTGGGACAGGCAGCTTGAAAAGCTCCGAATTCTGTGTGGGTAACAAGGTGGTTGTGAGCAATAGCCCAATAAATAAAATGGAGACAACATCGCGCTTGCTAAAACCTGGTTACCGACGTGAAATGAGAATTAGATATCAAGAAAGCATCAAGAAAAGGCTCTTTAAAGAGACACTAGCCTAATAAAGGCTGGAATTGCAAAGTGCAGCATCGTAACACATTTTGGAATAGGAATAACATTAAGCTAAAATTTGCTTGTTTTTGTGAATGAGATTTATTGTGAATATTTCTAAAATCCCCCAACTCTTGTAATGTTTACAACATAAACTTTCCATTCTTCTAGAATTCTCTAATATTTATCTATTCAACAAATATAAAAGTCTCATATACCTACATTTAGTTGGGTGCTTCTAATAAAATCCAATACTGGCAAGATTCGTTTCCCCAGTATCTCCATGTGCCTCACCGTGTCTTCTCTGGTCAGGAGACTGAAGGGAGTTTTATGTTCTAGAAATTAGAAGGAAAAACTTTTATACAATTTGTTTTAGACTCCCGTTTCAAAATACTTTCTTTAGCAAGCTATAAACAGATGTCTCAATATGAATAGATTGAAATCGTTAGCAGAGAAACTTATCTCTAGACCTGATGTATAACAACAAAAGATCTATGGGGAGAAAGGCAGAGGAGACATTGCCCTTTAGAAATGTTATTTATTCATTTTCTTATGTTTCTTGATTGAGAGATCTCAGAGACAGCCTAAAACAATTCGCCTATCTCTGCAGAGTTAGGTTTTCCTGAGTTGTGAAAAAATGTTGTCATAAATGTGTCTGATTCTTGTCTTGTTCCTCGCTGGTACGGCTCAGATGCGTGGAGCCCAGTGATGGAATGTTCCTCAAAGTTCAGATAGGGCTCACAGGACACAGTGTCAGACAAAACACAAATTCTTAATTATGTGCTTAGAGCTAAAGAAATAAATGCAGCCTGATCTTGAATTCAGCTCACAGGTTTGCGATTTCACCTTTATATGAATATCTTCCTTAATTTTTGAAGTTTCAGCTAGAATTACTAGGTTACATCATCTAACCATACTACACTTCAGGAAATCTGAGTTGGTCTCATTACATAAGAAAATAGCGAAACAAATATTAATACAATAACAAAAAAATCCAAGTGACTTATGGTAGTTACCAGCTTCAATTATGATGGTATATGATGCTTTTGGCATTGGTGAGATACACATCTCTTATTTGCTATAGGGTGCAGGTACTTGCCGGAGAGAGAGAGTAAGAGAGAGAGAGAGAGAGTCAGAAAGCACCCCTTGGAGCGGGGGTAGTATCCATGCTACAATCCCTTCTCCGCCATTCTCCTCTTGGGATGTTGGGCATACGAGGGTCTGGGTCTTAAACTACGCAGTCAGCTATGTGGGACCCAGTTGACCTCACCGCCATGCCACCTGGCTGGCTCCTTGTGTGTGTTCTTGGGGGAAAGCTTTCTTGGAACCAGAATTTCAAGTATTGTTAACTAGCCCATAAATAAGAGTAGAAAGAGTTAATGATAACAGAAATATGTTGGAGCCCTACTGTATGGTAGGCCCTGTGATAAACAAGAGTCAAATAATACACACTTCCTGCCTTATATCCACATGGAAAGGTAATAGTAAGCTCAGTGACTTACCTGTAAATGTTGGCAACTTCCTACTTGATAATTTTTCCAAAAATTTCCCATCTTCTTTGTTTTTGAACCCAAGAGTCAAGAGATATTGTTGGGGAGGACAAGATGACCAGTCAACTGTCTGAGGCAGCAAGTGGAGTCCTTGAAGATCTGAAATATGGCGGGAAAATACTAAGAGACTTTGTTTGGTTTTAATATTTTCATCCTCTAGATTTTACAAACTGTAATTGGGAAAAGTGATGAATACAACACTAGAAGTACAAAGTAGGGCCATGTGGGTTGCACATGGCCAAGTCTGTGGTTCGAGTTCCAGACCTGAAGGTCTGAAAACCACTCCAGGCCTGTGTGTGTGTGCATGCCCAAAATCCTGAGCGGAGGAAAGAGGAGAGGGACTGCCGTGTGCCCACTCCCCTGGGGAGTGATTTCTCACTTTCGCTTTCTCTCTCTTTCTGGTGAGTGCACATATTGTATAGCAAGAAAACTTGAAAAAAGAAAAAGTACAAAGTAAAATGATATGCATCAAAAGGTCACATAGGTAATATATCAAAATCATTTTATAATTTATTTTTTCATAATTTAAACATGAAGGGTAACAATAACATATGACTAGATTACTTATCGTCTTTCCTCACGTTCAAAATAATGGACATTCAAAGCCCATTTTCAGGCTAAATATTTCCCCTGTGACTCTTTTTAAGAAAATTCCCCCTTTTTGGTTCATGGTTTAAGATGTAAGGAAATAATACTATATAAAAAGGAGGAGAAACATTTTCAAGTGAGAATTAAAATTCAAGGCTAATTAACTTAGTCAGTAGCATTTCTACGGGGCTGCCGAAGAAAATTTAAAATGATAAATGCATTGACTATTGTAATTAGACCGGGAAACAATTCAAGTGTCTTGAAAATCATTCTAAAACAAACTCCATTCTGAATGACCAGCGCTAATACTTACTGAGCACTTACTTTCTACCTGCCCCATCCTAAGAGTTTTGTGTGCGTTGTGCTTTTAAAGCTTCACGTGACTTTATTTTTATTTATTTATTTTTATTTTTATTTATTTATTTTATTCTGGAGAGGTTTTTGCTATAGGACTCGTGTGCTCACCAGAAAGACAGAGAGAGACAGAGAAACAGAAAGCAAGAAATCATCCCCCGTAGGGGATGGCCACACCGCAATCCCTTCTCCTCCATCCCATAGTGACTTGACAAGATTGGTGTTATTATCTCCACTTTATGAATGGGAAGCTGATGGGTACAGATGGGAAGTAACTTGCCCAAGGACATGGCTGAGAGTGGGCTAAGCATGATTCACACCTTGGCTGTCTGATTCCAGAGACAACGGGCCTAGAAATTTTACTCTGCTTGGGGAGCAGTTGGCTCTGGACTACTTTGGTGGCAGGGGTAAATGTCAGGTTCACTTAATTCATTTACATTTTGAGTAATGAGACTTTATTTAAAAATATTTATTTAATTTTATTTATTATTATCCCTATTTAATTTGGCGAAGGAGACAGAGGAAAAGTGAGAAAGCAAGCTGCCAAGTCTCGGACTCAAACTACCGTCAGCCATGTAGGAGTCCAGCGGCTTAACCACCACACCGCCTGCTGGCCCCACGAGGCTTCGTTTTGTGATAATAGGTTTCTCAAGTGAGGGGTGATGAACAGAGAGGTTTAATAAGCTCTTCTTGCCTAACACTGTCAGAAAGGGGAAATGTGAGATCTCAAATACCCCAGAATTATGATTTAATTAAAAACCATTTTTTTTAACAGAGCAAGGATGCAAATGCAATGGTTTAAATACAGCCGTCAGAGTTCACCTGTAATAATAAATAATAGCGACCAGCGTGGTGGCACGGTGGTAACTCGGCCTTCTGCAATACTGAAGCCACATGGGAAGGTCTGGGGCGCTCGTCCTGCGGTCTCTCTGCATACGTCGAGCCTACTGGGGCCCCAGGGTCTGGGACTGGCTGAGGGCTGGGGGTGGATTGTGGTGTGGAGACCCTGTGGGGTGCTCTCTCGCTCTCTCTCACAAGAGAAATAAATCAGTAAACTTAAAAAAAGAATAGACTACGCTGTGAAGCACTGAGTGTGGTTCTGTTCACCTAGCCCCACTCCAGCCATTTTGAGCTGCAGAACCCTTTGTCTAAATTAAAATTTGTTTGTTTAAAGCCAATGAAAGTCTAGCTGCTCTGCTTGAGGCCTGGAACACTGGCTGCCCACGCTGGTAGCGTAGCCACACATGCAATAGCCACCATGAGCCCCCGCAGACGGCACAATTAAGACAAAAACAAGTATGCTGATTACTTTAAGAATTAAAATAGCACAGCATGCTTTTAAAACATAAATGCAGATTAAAAACACACTAGAGATATATTCGTTTTGCTTTGGCGATTTATTAGATCACCTCTTAATATCAATGAGGGCAAGCATTCACCGGGCACTTCTGAGCTATATGCGGATCAGGCTTAGCTTTTTTTTTTTTTTTTTGGTTGAGGTTTTTGCCATAGGACACTTGCAATTGTTGGAGAAAGACAGTGAGAGGAGAAGTGAGAAATCACCCCTCAGGAGGGATGGCCACACTGCAATCCCTTCTCCTCCATTCTCCTTCTGGCATTTTAGGCTCGCATGTACACGCGCCTGGCATCAGCCACCACATCTGGGACACAAAACTGCAATCAGCCATGTGGGAGTCCAGCGCTCCAACTACCACGCCCCCTGCTGGCCCCCAGGATTATCTTTTTCACTTAACAACCATGGGCAGCAGGACAGGTTACTATGCCCATCTTACAGGTGATAAAACCGGGGTTTCAAGATACATGCCCAAGATCACACGATGAGCACGAGCAGGGAGCAGAGTTGGAAGGCAGGAGGCTGGATGCCAACTCACAGGCTTATCTTCTGAGACTGTTCCCACCCCAGTTTAGGATCGGGTGTCTGAATTATCAATGACAAATATAGAGTCAGGACGAGGCCAGCACAAGGCTGGTAAGTGTTCTCTGTCTAGAAAAGCACAAGCACAGGAGTTGTGCTCAAGAGTTCTCCGAACTGACAGTAATTGTAGGCACTTTGCCATGCACGTTGCAGCCTAAGCTGCTTCTTTAGCTAGTGTTTGCATTACATCCTGTTTTTTTTTTTTTAAAGGTAAAATAAACACAGTGAAAAACATCATATTCTACATTATTGTAGGTAAAATATGATTTGTGCATGTCATTTTCAAATGTGCAGGAACTTTCTTTCGTTTTGAAACCTGCAGCAGGTCGTCCATGCATACCCTCCGTGTGCATCCTGCTGCTATATTGCCCACGTACTGACAAAGGAAGCATTTGCTGCTTCTGCTGAGTTGCCAGTATTGGGTCGGGTGAAACAGCAATTAAGCAAGCTTGGGCACTGGCCCTGTCTCGGGTAGCCCATCCCAGCCAGAAGTTTGAAGTCACTGCTACATAGATATTATTATAAACACTTTAGGAGATTGACCTCTTCTTACCCTTAAATATTTGTTGGAAAAAGAGGAGCCCAATACTGCTGGCGATTAGACGAACTAGAAAAACTAGCATTAACTAGCACTACAGTTAAATTTTATAAAACACGCTTCAAATTGTCTTTCTTGTTCTCTTTGATCTTCTCTGCTTTATCTTGTGAGTATGTAATCCATTAATGTCCAGTTGAAATTTTAAAATGTGAGAGGTCCTTACATACACACTGTTGCACTTAGGGAAAAAAATATTTTCTTAACGATCATTCTTCTTCCGCTTGTCTGCAGAGTGTATCGCCATGGTATGAACATTTAGCCTAGCAGGTGGTCCATGACCCAAAATGACAACACACTCACCAGATGTTGAAGCTCATGTACCATTAATTTGAGTGCTAATTGTCCTCAATTTTGTGCTCATAAACTTCTTTCTACGTCCGAAAAGCCCTGTGCCACTGATGGATAGGAAAGTTAACCAGATTATATAGTCCTTCAGTGGGGATGTTAGATTGATTTAAAAAAAAAAAAGTCTCCTTTGCTCCCATCATGTCAGAAGAAAATTTGAGAGAAATAAATCCTTTAATGCATTTATTTGCAATTTATCACAATTGGAGATGTAATTTAAATGATTATGACTGAATTTATTATTAAAAGATTAGCTGCAGGCGTGATGCAGCTCCAGTTTTTACCATTAGGGAAGTGGATGCTTTCAATGATAATAAACTGTGCAGACTCGATTTCTTGCAGAAACGTCTCTTTTCATTCTTTTCCCTCCCGATGAAAGATGTCTGATTTTCAACAGAAGAGGTTAAGCAGTCTCCTCTTTATCAGGAATATTTCACTTTACCATGGAAGACTAGCATAGGCCATTTTTCAAGTCTTTGAATTATTCAAGCTTTCGACCTCTCAGTTCTGTGCTGCCTCTGTCTTAAAATGACCTTCCTGGAGTTGAGTAAGTCTCTGTCTGTCTCTTTCTCACACAAGCACACAGTGGTTCTTCTTCCTTCTTCTTCTCTCTCTTGGGCTCTGCAGATCTATAGCTGCTCAAGAGAACCAAGGTTCAAAAAGGCAAATAAATCCTCCTTCCTGTTTTAAGACCATGTAATAAAGGCATTGTTGGAAGAAGAAGAAGAAAAGAAGAAGAAGGAAAAGAAGAGAAGAGAAGAGAGAAAAGAGAGAAAAGAAAAAAAAGAAAGAAAAGAAGGATAGAAAAGGAGAAGGAAAAGCAGCAGCAGCTGATTCCACGTGGTGACCACAGTTCAAATCCCTGATCAGGTTGACTCGAAACACACTGGGCACAGTGATGCGTGGCCAAGATGTGAGGGGCTGGAGGACTGGAGGAAGGCGATCGTGGTGGAGCAGACTCTCTGGAGAGTGCTCCCCTCTCTCTATGCACACACACACTCTTTATCATGAATAAAGACAGAAAAGCTGTCTCCAGCTCGTGGGTATTCTCTCTTCACTAAGAGACCCTTGGGTCTATGCCTAGTAGTGTGGTTCTAGCCATTATTATTAACTTTTAAAGTTTATTTCTTCTGTGAGAGAGACAGAGACAGAGAGATAGGTACTTCCAACCAGGTTCCCATGCCGTGATCCATCCCCGTCTCAGCTGGCCTGGATCATGTGCACGTGCGTGTGCTCATGGAGGTGCCTGTGCCCAGGGCCTTCCCCATAAGGGCCCGA